TTAATAATAACCCATGATGGGACTGGAGAGATGGTTCAGTGGTTAAGAGTACTTGCTGCAGACCCGGATTTGGTTCCCAGCATCCACATAATGGCTTATAACTATCTGTAACTCCAGTTCTAGGGAATGCGATACACTCTTCGGGTCTCCTTGGGCACCAGGCACATGTGTGTTGTGCATACATACATGCAGGCACTCACATATACACATAAAATTAAAATAAATCTTTAAAACAGTAGCAACAAAAAGAATCCATTGAGTCCAGTTTGTGCTGCCCGTATGCTTGTGAGCACAGGACCATCCACTGGAATTTGTTTGCTTAATGGGCCACACCCTTAAAGAAAATGGGCCCTCATTCCCCAAGAAGTCATCGGCTGTCCATGGCTCCTCAGGGATGGTGCTTGTGAAGCCCTTGCCTTTTCCTCCTGGAGGAATGTTACCTGGTGTGATCCTGTGCAGGTCCTGTGCAGACACCCACAGCTGCTGTGAGTTCAAGAATCAGCAGTCCTGTCATGTCCAGAAGACCATGTTTTATGCCAGTCCTCCCAGCCTCTGGCCCTTAAGATTTTTCCACCCCCTCTTCCACAGCGGTCCCTGAGTCGGGGTATGTGTGATACAGATGCCCCAGTCTGAGGGTGTGTGTGATACAGATGTCCCATTCGTGGCTGCATGATCCACTGACGTTCTTCGTACTTGGACCAGTTGTCAATTCTGTGCCCACGGTACAGAGAAGCTTCTTGGATGAGGTCTGAGAGCTGTGCTAATCTGCAGGTAGAGAGATAGGACTCTAGAGGGCAGTTTGATAACAGGTCCACTTAGCAGAATAACAGTAGTAGATTCCTTCCTGGGGATGCCTCTTGGCTTAATTACAACACCAGGCATGTGTTTCCTGTGACGTGGGCCTTAAATCCAGTCAGAAACAGGTTGGTTACCCTCAAAACATTTGTGCCACTGTTGTACCCATGAGTGTGCCTTGTCACACTGGTCATTGTTGTAGGTCATGGGGTTCAAAGCTGGGTGAGGCTGTTGCTGACTCCTTCTTTCCCAGCTCTCTACATAACACCTTCCAGTACCATGAGAGCTTCCTGGTTGGTACCACCTGATTTCTCTATGTCCAGTCTGTGCAGTGTCTTTAGCAATAGGGTCTTACCATCAAGTTCTGGTGAGCAGCCAAAGGCTATGTTTTGGGAGTCCTCAGGTCAACTGGAGGGGTGGAATTTCACACCTGGTACTGGGTTTTTAATTTGCAATCTGTGGCTTCTGGGAGATGTTAGGATCCTTTAAAAGATTTTTTTTTTTTTGATTTATTCATTTTTTTTTTTTTTTTTGAGACAGGGTCTCTGTATAGTCTCAGCTGGCCTGGCACTTGCTATGTAGACCAGGATGGCCTTGAACTCACAGAGATCTGCCTGCCTCTGCCTCCTGAGTGCTGGGATTAAAGGCATGCACCACCACACCCAGTTGGTTTATTTTTATTTTATGTGTATATATGTTTTGTCTGCATGAATGTAAGTGTACCATGTGGGTACAGTGCCCACAGAGGCCAGAAGAGGGCATTCAATTCCCCAGGAACTGGAGTTACTGACATTGTTAGCCATCATATGAACCAAACTCAGGTTCTCAGTAAGAGCAGCCAGTGTTCTTAACTGCTGAGCCATCTCTCCAGCCCAGATGTTAAAATTCTTAATAACAGTTGGGCGTGGTGGTGCATGCCTTTAATTCCAGCACTCGGGAGGCAGAGGCAGGCGGATCTCTGGGAGTTTGAGGCCAGTCTTGTCTCCAAAGGAAACCCAGGCCATTGGGGGCTAAAGGGGGGCCCTTTTCAAAAAAAACCAAAAAAAAAAAAAAAAAAAAAAAATCTTAATAACATGATTTTAAATACGTGCATAGTTACCTAAGTTTGAAACTTTAGCATTTTCCTTCCTCCTGTGTTGGTGAAAGTTAAAAGTTGGTTGTGAAGTCTTATTGCTTTGACTGGAAAATGTTGGCACGTCCCATGAGGTGAAGCCGTAGCTTTGCTGTGTCCTCCTCTGTGAAGTGGGAAGAGACACTGGTGTGGCAGAGTATAGCAGAGAGGGTGGCTGCTGACCTCATGGCCCCTGGGAAGCAGAAGAGAGGGCAGGAGCAGGAGGGAGGGATGGACAGACAGGCCAGGGACAAGGTGCAACCCCTCAGGGCATGTCCCAAGTGAGGCACTCCCTTCAGCGAAGTGACATCTGCCTGCCGGTAATGCCATCGCATTGTGAGCCCATCTGGGTCAGTCTCTGCTGAGGTTGGAGTCTTCATAAGCCAATCATTCACTTCCAGGAAAGCCCATCAGCTAAGTCAGCTGATGGGCAGCGTTGGACACTTGATCCTCCAGGACAAACTACAGCAGAAGTAACCATTCACTCTGGAGAAGGAGGCCTACGTGCTCTCTCACTTGGGTGCTGTGGCTGCCTGTATCTGCCTGATCTGCCTGGTTGAGTTACAGCCCTGCTAGTCCCTGGACCTCCGCCTTTTCCTGGCCTGGTCACAGGACATGAACATATTACATGTGTACATGCCTGTCCTCCCAGTTGGTACTGAGATTAGCACTGTCATTCTTGACACTCCACTTAAAACTTTGTGCTTGGTCTGACTGAGTTCTTGGGATGAGTTCCTATGTGTGGAATGAGATTTATGTGTTTGAAATATAGTCACTGCAAAGGTGAAGTAAATGGAAGGCTTTTTTTGATTTGCCAGCAAATGTTTGCTAACTGTTCAGTGAAAAATATTGTCTGATAGGCTGGGTGTGGTTGCATACACCTTTAATCCCAGCACTTGGGAGGCAGAGGCAGTGGATCTCTGTGAGTTCGAGACCAGCGTGGTCTACATAGTGAGATCCGGGTCAGCCAGGGCTACAGGGAGACCCTGTGTCAAAAAGGCCAAGAAAAAGAAAAAAAAGAAAAATATTTTCTGCTTAAAATGTTTTGTTTATAGGGCTGGAGAGATGCTCAGTTAAGAGCACTGGCTGCCCTTGCAGAGGACCCAACTTTGGTTCATCAGTACTTACATAGCAACTAACAATCATCCGTAACTCCAGTTCTAGAGGGATCCGGCATTCTTTTCTGATCTCTGGGGGCATTACATGCATGTGATGTCCTTATATACATGCACACAAAATACTCATACATTGGACGTGGTGGCACATGCTTTTAATCCCAGCACTTGGGAGGCAGAGGCAGGTGGATCTCTGGGAGTTCAAGGCCAACCTGGTCTACACAGAGAGTTCCAGGACATCTGGGGCTACAGGAAGACCCTGTCTCAAAAAACCAAAAAAAAAAAAAAAATTGTGCAGGAAGTAGTTTTTCCTCCTCCTATGTGAATTCTAGGGTTGGACTCAGTATGTCAGGCTTGGCAGCAAGTGACCTTACTATTGAGCCGTTTTACCAGCCCTATTTTCTGTTTTTACTATTTGTTGTGACAAGCCATAATGATGGTGGTAGATTAATATCAGGTGGGCCAGAGAAGGTAAAACCTTAAACCTTTGTTCATTCCTTGGGGTCTTATAGGAAAATCTGCCTGGAACACCAGGTGGGACAGCTGTTGACGACCTCGGAGCCCTTTTGTGCTGATGGCAACAGAAAAAGCATTTCACTTGCTATAGTAGGTATACCAAAGAGAGACTGTTGTCACATGTGGACATTGTATGTGCTGTGCATTCACTGGCTTGTCTCATGTGAGTTCCCTGGGTGCTTGAGTAGACCGACATGGTCTCTGGGAGCAGCCCCAGAGGTTCTCACTGAACCTGTTGATGTGGTTCTGAATCACCTGTGTTCTAGGTCATCTTTTTTGGTGGGATATGGGGATATGAGGAGTGGACCTTTCAGTTACACTGTGTACTTGGTGGAAGCTCTGTCTGCCCTTCTACAGCAGGTGCTGGCATCATCCAGTGCCCCTCTCTGCCTATGGCTCTGGAACCACACCTGTATCCTTTATCAGCTGAACTTTCAAACTGTGGCTGAGCTCCTGGAAT